CAGACTGTTGGCCTAGGTTAGGTTATTTCGACCGAAACGGAAAATTGACCCGAGTGCGAATAAACGATGGCAATGACAGCAGCGGCGGCGGCGGCGGCGGAAGTAGCAGTTCGATCGCTGCACCTCGGAACAGTGTTAGGCTACTCTTTGCATTCGGCGATATGGATATGCTTAACTGCGAGGACGGTTATGTAGTCGATCAGAGATTGCGATTTACTGGCGACACTGTATTTTGCCGCAAGATCGCCATCGATTGTCGGTCGAATGTGTACTTTCGTAGTCGTATGGAGCTGCGTTACGATGCCGATCGGGGCGTCATGTTGCACGTAGGAACTTTTCGAGCACATTCTCACATTTTCGTCAATGGCAGCAACAACAATCTAACCGTCGTCGTTCGACAGCGAGCGCCTCGTCGCGTAACGATCGCCCAGGACAATGACTACGAAGAAGAAGCGGCCGACAACGGCGACGGCAACGAAAACGATTGCGAAAGGAGAAATGAGGATAACGATTACGAAGAAGAAGCGGCCAACAACGGCGACGAAGACGAACTGATCGAGTACGCGTGCGACGTTTACGTGACATGGAACGCATCGTTCTTGCATGAGCAAACTTGCGAACGGCGCAGAGCGCAACTCGGAATCGGTTCTGTTCAATCGATCAGCGTGAGTCGGCCCGTGGAAACAAAAGACGCGTGTCGATACGCCGAGACGCGGCGATACGATCGCTCCGTTTCGCCCGTAGCGGAAACCTCGGTGGAGCTGTTTGCACGCTTTGTCAGAATCACCATGCGAGCTATCGATACGCGTCAGACGTTCAAGCTGCAAAATTCTTTTGGTCAAAAAGGAGTGGCTCATTATGCCGATCTGTCTGGTTTCGTCACAGACCGCGGAGAATCGATAGACGTCATTTCATCTGTGTACAGCTTTGTCGGTCGGTCGGCCTGCGGCCAATTACTGGAACAACGCGAAAGTGCGCGCCGCGTCTTGTACGACGGTCGTTGCATTGGATACGCTGGCTACGGCTTCTTCTTCGTCAGCAATGACTCGCCGCATAATAATTTCATCTATAGCGTCAAGCACGCTGGAGACAATCCTATGCGCGCCTGTCGTCTCACGTACGACAGTTTGCTTGAAAATTGCGTCTCTAGTGCAGCATTCGTCAAAGCTAGCGAATTTGATTCAGGCGTCACGAATCCGTACGCGGGAATGCCGCGCAACGTATCGCGAGCGCTGGATTGTTACAACGTATACAATCGAGGCGTATGCCTCTCCTCGCAACGTGCTCTCTCTGCGCGAAAACGCATCTACGATCGCGCGCTTCTATGGTCCATTGGAGAAATGTGCCGTCATACTACGACAACAGCGCTAACAGCAGCCAAACGAAAACGCAAGACTACGTAACCCGCACAGCGCAGTGCGCTGCCGCTACATTCTGCATTGTAATTTCAAGACCCGATTGAATAAAGAAAGTATTTGTAACATACGAGGCAGTCTGAAAAGTTCTCGGCCTAACAATGAAAGAAAACTTTTTTGTTGTGAAATGTTTTATTTTTCAATGTAATCTCCTGAAACTTTAACACATTTATTCCAACGTCTTTCCAATATCAATTCGACTATGTCTTCAGCCGTTGATAAGTCTTGCTTTAGTTGGCTGCCGGATCAGTGATCGGTCTTACTTTAACTTTCAAGCTTCGTAACTCGGAAAGTACTCAATAAAACGTAACTTTGTTATCGTGTTTTGGAAAGCTCTCGAGATAAGCTACAAGAATATGTAATAAAAAATAGGGGTTTCTGTTTGAAAATACATTAATGACTTTGACCTGATTTTGACAAGGTCACTCAAGGTCAAGTCCATATTTCTATCATATGTCCCTCTTCAAGCAATGCAACTTTCATTCGAAAAATGTTTCACTAAAATCGATTTGCGAGATAATTGCCCATATCACTTAAAATGAGACACCCAGTGTACAGCCAAAATCGAATATTTTATTCCGTCCGTACTCCGAGATCTCTTTACATAAAACGAGAGCGACAGACGCAATGTAAATATCGACGATTTAGCGGTGATTGTGAAGAAGTACCTGCAAAGTACGCTACATGATCGATCATCGTATTGGAATACGATGATTTATATCCGTCGTAACGTGATTCGATAATCTATATTCTTCGCGATGTGGTCGACGAATGTGATGTTGATTATGGCTTTCGTTATGAGTATCGAACGCTTGATTCACGATGATCTGAAGCATGCGTCAAACGAACAAACGCTCGCTGAAATTCGCCGATGAAAAGGAATTGCGCGGTAGGTGCGAAACTCGAGCTATTGTATCGTCAACTGTGACGGAGCAAACGAAAAAGTCGCAGGAGCGTTGTAACATCGTCTGTGATGACAAAAGATTGATCAACGAAAGAAATCTACGACTTCCTATGAGAATCACGACTACTACTAAGAGGCAACAGAAGGTGCGAGTCTAACGATGGATTCGATGAAACTCTCGAGATAAATGCCGACATCGAAATGGTGACTGTGGTAAACTGGCGTGGTCGTCTCGTTTGCACATTTTTTCTATAATTTTTCTCCTCGGTATCGTAGCTTTGATTATGTATATGTTGATTGCGTATGGTAACACTGAAAATTTCGATCGCGACATGGAAAATACACACGACGGTGTCGCTACGAACGATACTCTCGTGCGCGCTCCTAATGCTGCTCGGAGTGAAATGAGTGACACTGACAGGGGCAAAAAACAAAGCAAGGAGTTGGAGGGTGCCCCTGCTTCGCGTCACAGTTTCGTGGCTACCGATTTGGACGAACGTGAAGGTGTGAGCAACCGTATAGATACAAACGCGCATGGCGACGAGAGCACAAATTCTGAAGCGGAGGATAGAAAGTTAATTCTAGCGCTGAGAAAAGCGCAGAGTGATGCGATGAGAATTGCGCCAATTAGAGTGGGAAGGCGACTGTAGATTTCAGCGGCAAAGTGTACGACAACATTGGCGATGTAAACAGCGATACTGTTCTGAATGCTGACATTGTGACACTCGACGCAGCAAATGTAAAGTTGGTTGAGGCCACAATGATGATGATAGAAATAATAGATAGTGTTTTAGCCATAGCGAAGGTCGTAATGAGCCAACTAGAATCATTTTGAACGTGTTTTACGGACGAGATGAGATACCTTTGTAACACAACATAGTCAAAGTCGAATATGTTATTCCGCTCGTATTTCGATATCTCTTCACATAAAACGAGAGCGATAGACGTAATGAAAATATCGACGACCTAGACTTGATGATTGCGAAGAAGTAGCCAAAAATTACAGCGAAACACAAATAGGCGCATGTGTTCAGACAAAACTTGGCAAGACCAGAGACAGTTAATGTCAAAATTAAAGCATACGCGCGACCCCCCCCCCGATCCCTTTGCACGAAACGACTTTTCCACCAACATCTCTTTTACATGTACAGATTACGGCCTACCGTTCCCTCTCTCACTCTGCGCCGAATCGGAACACTCGCATCTCCTCTATCATAGAACAGTCAAGAAGTACAATAGAGTCAGGGATTACTGCTCTGTACTCCGGTATTTGCGCTAACATATATAGAATAGACAATTTTTTGCGCTGTCGACCGGCTCGAATCGACAGAACAAAACGTGAGCGACCGCGATGCGAAAAATATATACCGGGACTGTCTACAATATGAGGCAGTTCTGAAGTCACGCTTTTTCGTTATGGCCACGAGTGAATAAGTTGAGAGAGAGATTGAGAGAGAGGGGGGGGAGAGAGAGAGAGAGAGAATATGCGCAACATGTCTTTGCAAGTTACGAATGAGTGTAAAAAGGGGCCTAATGAGGTTCATCGTTGGCGATATCAGCAGGCTATACGTGCACGTCGTCTCGTTTCAGGACGATGCCGTCGAATCGAATACGAACGGCAATCCATCGAGAAACCACTGCGTGAGTTGCGAATCGTGTATGCGATAGGACGTGATTTCGACAGAGAACTGTTGATGCGTTCGTTATTCGTGGAAGAGACATTGCGCTATCGCGATAGGCAGTATTCAGACCAAGTTGGACAACTGTCTCACAGATGCGCGGATCCTGCTAGCCAGTGTCTGGGAGGAACCGGATGCCTAATTGGCACGTTGTCCACCGGAATCGATCACGAATACGTTCTCTAATGCGTCTCCTTGTACTTTTCATATTTTTATGACATCGAAAAGTCTATCGCGTGTCGGACGTGGCGCAGGACGTGTTACGTCGCGCAGGTTACTCGTCAACGGAATATCGAAATACTGTTTAGCGCTTGGTTAGATGCGAATACGCGAAAACTTTATATCGTGTGCGATCCAACCAATGTGGAGCGTGGCGTTCTGTTGGCCGAAGGTATCCAAGACGATCGAATAGCTGTAAATGATGAACCTGCAAAGTCGCTACATGATCGATCATCGTATTGGAATGATAATCTATATTCGTCGCAATGTGATCGACGAGTGGCATCGATTATGGCTTTCATTATGAGTATCGAACGCTTGATTCACGATGATCTGAAGCATGCGTCAAACGAACGAACGCTCGCTGAAATGATATTCGCCGATGAAAAGGAATTGCGCGGTAGGTGCGAAACTCGAGCTATTGTATCATCAACTGTGACGGAGCAAACGAAAAGTCGCAGAAACGTTGTAACGTCATCTTTGGTGACAAGAGATTTATCAACGAAAGAAACCTACGACTTCCTGTGAGGAGTCGCGATTACTAAGGTCAGATGGTGTTTGTGTACAGCAGAAGGTGCGAGTCGAACAATGGATTCTATGCAAACGTCTCGAGATGAACGCGGCCATCTAAATGGCGACCGTGGTCAACTGGTGTGGTCGTCTCGTTTAACCATTCTTTCTATAATTTTACTTCTCGTCGTAGCTTTGATTGTGCATATGTGGATTGCGCATGATAACTCGGTTCACGATCAAATTCGTACGTACGTCAAGCAACTGTCTAACATGAACTCACGTTTCGTAAATTGGGTACGTTTTTGGAAGGACAGTGAATACGCGCGGCATTATGAGAACGCTGAAAATTCCGGTCGCAACACGAAAAATGCGCACGACAGTATCACTCCGAACGAGCAAGGTGGTGTGAGCAATTGTACTGATACTAATATGCATAGTGGTGCAACAGACAGCATGAACAACGAAAACGATGAAATTTCTCGCGCGAGCGCAGATTTCAACGGCGACAAGAGCTATGTAAACAACGGAACTACTCGCTTTGACGCGAGTGCAGATTTCAGCGGAAACAAGAGCGAAGATTTCAGCGGCGACAAGAGCGCAGATCTCAATGGCGACAAGGGAACAGATTTCAGCGGCGACAAAAGCCATGTAAACGACGAAACCGCTCGCATTGATGCGAGTGCAGATTTCAGCGGAGACAAGAGCGAAGATTTCAGCGGCGACAAGAGCGTAGGTTTCAGCGGCAACAAGAGCGAAGATTTCAACGGTGACAAGAGCCGTGTAAACAACGAAACTTCCCGCATGGACGCGAGCGTAGATTTCAGCGGCGACAAGAGCGAAGATTTCAACGGCGACAAGAGCCGTGTAAACAACGAAACTTCCCGCATGGACGCGAGCGTAGATTTCAGCGGCGACAAGAGCGAAGATTTCAACGGCGACAAGAGCCACGTAACCGACGAAACTGCTCGCATTGACGCGAGTGCAGATTTCAGCGGAGATAAGAGCGAAAACTTCAACGGCGACAAGAGCTATGTAAACGACGAAACTGCTCGCGTTGACGCGAGTGCAGATTTCAGCGGAGACAAGAGCGAAGGTTTCAGCAGCGACAAGAGCTATGCAAACGACAAAACTGCTCGCATTAACGCAAATACGGATTTCAGCGGAAACAAGAGCGAAGATTTCAGCGGCGACAAGAGCTATGTAAACGACGAAACTGCTCACATTGACGCGAGTGCAGATTTCAGCGGAGACAAAAGCGAAGATTTCAGCGGCGACAAGAGCTATGTAAACGACGAAACTGCTCGCATTGACGCGAGTGCAGATTTCAGCGGAGACAAGTGCGAAGATTTCAGCGGCGACAAGAGCTATGTAAACGACGAAACTGCTCGCATTAACGCAAATACGGATTTCAGCGGAAACAAGAGCGAAGATTTCAACGGCGACAAGAGCCACGTAACCGACGAAACTGCTCGCATTGACGCGAGTGCAGATTTCAGCGGAGATAAGAGCGAAAACTTCAACGGCGACAAGAGCTATGTAAACGACGAAACTGCTCGCGTTGACGCGAGTGCAGATTTCAGCGGAGACAAGAGCGAAGGTTTCAGCGGCGACAAGAGCTATGCAAACGACAAAACTGCTCGCATTAACGCAAATACGGATTTCAGCGGAAACAAGAGCGAAGATTTCAGCGGCGACAAGAGCTATGTAAACGACGAAACTGCTCGCATTGACGCGAGTGCAGATTTCAGCGGAGACAAGTGCGAAGATTTCAGCGGCGACAAGAGCTATGTAAACGACGAAACTGCTCGCATTAACGCAAATACGGATTTCAGCGGAAACAAGAGCGAAGATTTCAGCGGCGACAAGAGCTATGTAAAAGACGAAACTGCTCGCATTGACGCGAGTGCAGATTTCAGCGGAGACAAGAGCGAAGATTTCAGCGGCGACAAGAGCTATGTAAACGACGAAACTGCTCGCATTGACGCGAGTGCAGATTTCAACGGAGACAAGAGCGAAGATTTCAGCGGCGGCAAGAGTGCAGATTTCAACAGCGACGTGAGCACAGATCTCGGCGACGATAAGAGCTATGTAAATAACGAAACTCCTCGCATCGATACAAGCGCAGATATCAGCGGCGGCAAGAGCGCAGATCTCAATGGCGATATGAGCGCAGATCTCAGCGACGATAAGGGCTATGTAAATAACGAAACTCCTCGCATTGATGCAAGCGCAGTTTTCAGCAGCGGCAAGAGCGCAAATTTGCGTGATAGTGATAAAGTTTCGGACGATATCGCTTCGGAAATTCTTCCAATTGTAAATGCCTATTCATTAAGCAGAAATGTAGAAGATGGACGACGCAGGAGATCACGACCAGGCACATCGTCGTCTGGATTGAATAGTGTTAAGAGAAAACGTAGAGATATCAAAAATAATCGTTTTATTGGTTAACGTGGTACATTGGATTCTTATTTATTTGTATTCGAGACGTATAATATAGCAAAGAAGCTTTCGTTGTCCAGCTCGTTCGATTACATCAGGCGAAGCATTAGGTAGCTGCGATATCACGCTTACATCACAGTCCAATGAAACTCGATGATTGCAATGAACTGAGCGTGCGACGCTGTTCAAAAAGCGTCCAATAACTTCGGCCTCCTATTCGCAAGGGAGAAAATAATCATAAGCGTTGCCTATCCAATATAGTTTGTCCAGTATGATTGTACAGTATGACCAAGTTAGTGGCCGTTAGTAGCAGTGATAACGTAAGTTCCATTTTTCTCTTAATTTACAGCGTACCTGTAATCTGTAATAACAAGGTGTACAATAAAATACGATTGAAAAAAAAACCGCAATTAAATTCTTACCGAGCAACTCAATGCGATGGTGAGTTCACGATGTAGTCAATCTGTCAAATCGACGCTATTGTGTAGAACAGTAGACTCAACCGTAGAACTGTGCCTCAGATATCATTTACGATCAGGATGATTGTCGTCCGACAGTACACCATTGATGCGTGCGTAGTTGATAGACATCATTGACGGGTACCATGCCGTAACGCATGGTTCATTTGTAACTTGGCTTGTCTCGACGTATCTCTCTGAACGTGGCGAACGATAAAACAATTAATTAAGCGCTGATAAATGATCGAGAAACACTGTGTTAAATCGAAAAATGTTTCAGACAAAAGCTGCATGATTTAAAATAGCACATAGGACAGTGATATCATTTTGTTTATAGATGGCGCCACTTTTAAGATATTTACTGATTGTTACTTTTCTTCAATGGAAATCTCAATTTTTTATTATATTATCTTATTTTATCACTTAATCACTTAATCACTTAATTTGAGCAACTTTCATTCGAAACATTTTTTATTTGCCTAATATTTTGTTAAATATTTAAGGAAAACTCTTTCATCATTTAACTTATGATATATCGCTAACTATTTGTCGGAAGAAAAAGTGGTATTAGACTTTTTTATTCCATTTGGTCCCTAGAATATATTGATACAATAGTACCATAATTTTTTATTAACTTGTCGACCTTTGAAAATTTCTATATCGTCAAATTAACAAAAAATTAAGGCACTATTCCAGCAATATATTTTAGAGATAAAATAGAATAAAAAAGTCTAATATCACTTTTTCTTTTGACAAACAGTGAGCAAGATATAAGTTAAATATTGAAAAGTTTTTCTTAAATATCTAAAAAAATATTAGGCAAATAGAAAAATGTTTCAGGCGAAAGTTGTTAAAATTTGTTCGTAGAAAAAGGTAACATAATAAAAAATTGGAATTTCCATTTAGAAAAATAGTGATCAGTGAATATCTCGAAAATGACGTCATCTGTAAACAAAATGATATATTTTTTATATGTCCCCTTTGAAATTGTACAACTTTTGTCTGAAACGTTTTTTTCTAAAATGTCGCGTTTACAAAAAAAAAACGTGGAAGAGTGACGCGGATGGCAGCGTAGGCCGGCCATTTATACGGGAGCGCAGGGCGGCCATTTATACGGGAGCGCAGGGCGGCCATTTATACGGAAGCGCAGGACGGCCATTTATACGGCAACGTGAAGCTGAAGAAGTTATCAAGTTTTCCTTAAATATCTAAAAAAATATTAGGCAAATAGAAAAATATTTCAGACGAAAGTTGTTAAAATTTGTCCGTAGAAAAAGATGAGATAATAAAAAATTGGGGTTTTCGATTAAGAAAAGCAATGATCAGTGAATATCTCGAAAGTGGCACCATCTGTAAACATAACATTACTGCTGTTTTATGTCCTCTTTGAAATTATACAACTTTTGTCTGAAACATTTTTTCCTAAAATGTCGCATTTACAAAAAAATCAAGTGGTACCGGTGGTCTGTGACGTATATTTACAGCACATCTTGCATAAAAAGAGAACACCTTCAACTATTAAATCGAAAATAATTCTATCAAATCGGAAATCTAAACTGTCTCCAGCTAATGTAGTTAATACACGAGTTTGCAATAGCTTCAAAGTTTACGCAAAGGCTTCCCGGGCCATTCGATTATCGGATGATAGATGCTCGGAGTATAAAACACGTTCCCCGGATTTTAGACGAAAACTAACGATTGAGTTGTGTTCAGCAGGTCAAAATCCTTTGGGAATGACGTTTTGTCCGTTTTCCACGATAAGCCGAGACCGACCCAATTTACCCATTCTTTTCACAAGTTCTTTTCAAAGATTGATATTTTAACAAAAATTAGGGTACTATTGTAGCAATAAAAATGTTTTCTGTTTCTGAAAATATATTAGTTAGCTTGAAATAACTTATTACAAGCCGACCGCTATGTTTTTGCAAATTTACTATATTTCTTTTACGAATTTTTATCGTTTGTCATTTTGCAATAATTTTAAATGTATCAACATGCTCCATGTATCAACCATCCTCGGTTTCTCCTACCTTTTCCGCCCGGCGCCAGGTAATTGATTCTGCGTGCGCAAGTGCATATGTCCCATTTCTGGAACGTTGTTGATGATGCTGTTGCAACCTGAAAAAAAGAAGCGAGGGTGGCGGGGGGGGGAAGAAATAAAGGTATTCATTATAAAATATCTATTGTGGTTTATTTTTTTACAATTGTGCAGCGAGTACGTATTACATGTCAAATATGCGGCATCAAATATGAATTACAAATTTAGAAAAAGAATGTGTTGCACTCGCTCATTCTCGAAATATTACATTCATGCTTTGCAACCGCGTTCGCGAAAGTAGATCCGTTGTAATTTGAAAACTCAAAATTTATAGCGATCCGTATGTTACCTTTTCGATTTAAATACGATTTTCGCGGTGCCTGTCGAGTTTCTTCACCTTCTAATTCGTGTGTAGCATTTGTTACTTGATAAAAATCTTTTAGGTTAGAATTAAACAATGATACAATGCGCTCACTGTTCATATCGCAATTCGACGTTTCTGGAGCAGTAAACGTATCACATCCCTGAAACGATTTTTCTTGTTGCTGCTGTTCCACAAGCGCCGCCACTTTCCGCTTTGAAGAAGGGAGTGTCTCGTACAATACTTTCTTTATTGTCTTTTCATTATGCCTAGCGTATATTGTACCGCACCGCACTGGATGACGATCGGGCGACCTGAGCGTTACGTCGTAAAATAAAGAGCCGTCAGATTTACGCGCTAGGCTAAGTATTCCTAGGTTTGCCGAAAAACTAGGTGTGACAAGTACGCAGAAACCGTCATTGCGAACACAAAGTACAGTATATTTTCGACTCGCATAAAACGGCTGGTCGCGCAACATTTTGATCGACTTTACGGTCCAATGACAAATGTTGAAATGTAGCGTTTGGACAATTTTTTGATTAATCGCAACAGCGTCTACGGACAAACGATTTGGTTTTTTGGTTAACAACGCGGCAGTGAGAGTTATTCCGCATGACACAATCGTGAAGGCAAATGGCAATTCGTCTAATATGCTTTGCGATGATTCTTTTATAGTTTCTTGCAATAATGACGACCATTTATCCTTCGTTCGCTTTGAGCGCCTGATTCGTATATAATCGATTGTTTGCGAGTCTTTATTGTACCACGACATGCTAGGTTCTCTACTGTATATATTAACAATACCTTCGGATAAAAATTCATAAGTTATAAGTTTAGGCGATTGCATCTCGATACCTGCAGAATTTGATACGTCAAAGCCGACTCTATTGATTAAACACCAGGGCACAACGTGATTAAATTGGCACAATAGATTCTCTAGAAGTTCTTAACAATGTTCCCGATTAGGCGATGTAGAGATCGCACTTACTTGCTGCAACACATCCTCGTGGCACGCGCGTCAACATTTGTCCAGGTGTGCTTCGATGTAAGCCTCGGACTCTGCATTCGGACACTTGACGATCACTGCTTCACTCAACATTCTCGAAGAACGAGCGTTGTTTTGCGATGAGACGATAACCGTATCTTCTGCGGGTCCGTTGAGAAAAAGGTCACTTGCTTCCGCCACTTGTGGAATGTCTATAATATTTTGCACACTGAACTCACGTTCGAAATTTTCATTGGATGTAATATCTAATTGCTTCATCCAACTTGTCGTACTGATGTCCAAATTAACGTAGTTCATATTATCGCACACTTGCGGAAGTTGTGCCGATTGCAGCTGCAATGACGGATACGGGTACTCTGGTACAGATGTTGTTGAGTGCAGCACTTGCACTGGTCGTCCTTGTGAAGGCGGTGTTTCGTACGTAAAATTAGGCGACGCGAACTGTTCGACTGACAATGATACCTCGGCTAACGATGAAAATGACGCCAATGGTATTTCAGCCTCTTTGTTCTGCGAAGCGGTCCGAAATCTGTGCGCGTCGCGCTTCAGCAAAATGGATATGTTATCAGTCAACATATCATTTGAGCATGCGGCAGACTTCGAATCGGTAGAGTCGAGCATATCGTCGGATCTAACGTCATTCTGCTTGGCGTCACCGCTTCAATAGCGACTTCTTGAATCGACGCATCCACATTGGTAATATTTTCAAATTTATCTAAATTGTCAACCGTATCGACCCCTACGGTAGTCACTGATGTGATTTTTTCCACCGCCGTTACATTATTTTCTATTTTATTTTCAGAAAACACGAAATTGCCATCATGTCCCCGATAACATATCTTTTCTGAATGTTGTATATTCATGATGCTTGGCAGATTGCAGTTCGCTTGTTCTTGCGGCGCTTTGTTGTTGAGGCTGGAACTGTTTTGTGGTCAAAAGTAACAACAGTTTCAATTTCACTTGTCACGGGAGCGCCTACTTTCCTGGCCGCTTCGACGTCGCCGTTTAATATCAGGTGTAGTAAAAAGAAATCCATTATTTTTCCAATAGATGGCTTTAGTTATCTGTATCTCGCGTTGTATAAGTCCGATCGGGTTCCACTAGATGGCGTTAGAAAGATGAGATTTCGTACTAAAAAAACTTTTCTGACAGTTTTGTGATTAGTTGACTCAGTTTTGTTTGAGCGCGCGTCAAAGATGGACACTAGCAAAGAGAAAATACGCTATATTTTACAGTTTTTCTTCGATAAAGGCGAAAACGCAAGCCAGGCGGCTGAAAATGTGAATAGTGTTTATGGTCCTGATACTGTAACAGCCAATCACGCGCAATTTTGGTTTCGTCGATTCCGTTCCGGTAATTTCGATGTCAAAGATGCACCACGCACTGGAAGGCCAATTGTCGGAAATATCGATAAAATCATGGACATTGTCGAGTCCGACCATCATGTAAGCACTGTTTCGATTGCCCAAGAGCTAAAGATTGCACAAAAAACTGTTTGGAACCATTTGAATAAGGCTGGATACAAAAAGAAGCTCGATGTATGGGTGCCACACGAGTTAACGAAAAAAAACCTCATGGACCGAATTTCCATCTGCGAATCGCTGCTGAATCGCAACAAAATCGACCCATTTCTGAAGCGGTTGGTCACTGGTGATGAAAAGTGGATCACTTACGACAACGTCAAGCGAAAACGGTCGTGGTCGAATCGCGGTGAGCCGGCGGAAACGGTGGCCAAGCCAGGATTGACGGCCAGGAAGGTTTTGCTGTGTGTTTGGTGAGATTGGCAGGGAATTATCTACTATGAGCTGCTCCCCTACGGCAAAACTCTTAACTCGGAACTGTACTGTCAACAATTGGACCGTCCAAGGAAGCAATCGCCCAGAAGCGGCCAGCTTTAGCCAATAGGAGAGGAATTGTGTTTCATCAGGACAACGCCAGCCACACACATCGATAGTGACTCGCCAGAAGCTCCGGGAGCTTGGTTGGGAGGTTCTTATGCATCCACCTTACAGTCCGGACCTGGCACCAAGTGATTACCATCTGTTCCTGTCCATGGCGAACAATTTTGCTGGTGAAAAATTCGCTTCAAGAGAGGCTTGTGAAAATCGACTGTCTCAATTTTTTGCCAGTAGGGACGAGGGCTTCTAGGGATGAGAGAGGCATAATGAAATTACCTTCAAAATGGCAACAAGTTATCGAACAAAACGGCGCATATTTGACCTAAATCGGATCATTCTAACTATGGTAATTAAAGCCTTCAATTTCATGCAAAAATAATGGATTTCTTTTTACTACACCTGATATAACGGGTATTGTATCATTGTGCATTTTAATATGCTTCAAGTTGGAACTGAAGTTATTTACTATTTTGCACACGTTGCAATCGTGAATCTCCATCGATATGTCACGAAAATCGTCGAAGTCTTCTTGCAAGAAATGTGTTAACATTTCATAGCGAATATTAAGTTTATTATTTAAATCACTCAATTGTTCACTTATGCGCTTGTACGCTCGTTGCACGTAATCACCGTGATATTCGCGTATCCATCGGGCCCTGGCTGATACGTCTGTTTTATCGAAGACGTTACTGTGTCTTTCGCACATTGAAAACGTAACGGCACCAACGATTTGTTTTCGGCGTTGCACGGGAACAAACATTTTTTATAACAAATTATTAAACATTCTGTCGGACTAAACTTAAAGTGTCAGACTGACACGTACGCGCAACTCGTATTCGACACTCGCGATTGCTGTCTTGTTTCGAAGTGACTCGAGTCCTTCGAGAGAACGTTTGGATGTGACCGAATTTCACCCCTTGTGCACGTATTTAAACTGAAAGACGATACGTTTCGCTCGGATCTTCAAATTACTTTTCAGGTCATTTCAAGCGATCCGCTCAGTGTTAGGTTAGGTTAGGTTAGGTTAAGATTAGATTAGGAGATACCTAAACCCTAAGCCTTTACAACGGCCAATGTGAAATCTTGACTGAAACGCCTCAACTTGATAGCATCTGTTCGGCGCGATAATGTGACGCTTAGGCGATCATATTTATCTCTTTCTAAAAAAGGGAGCCGTGTTATCATGTAGCTATAAGAAGCTCGACATCGCCGAACAGTTATTGCTAAATTGCCGATATTTTTCATTGCGTCTGTCACCCAAAGAATAGAAGGAGCAGTGCGGTATGGCGTCAACGACACCGCGTCGTCGTTTCGTCACAGCGAGCGACAACAACGTTTGCCGTCACAACAGCGAAGAGGACGAAACAAGGCCGTCGCCGGCGACGATACAAGGCAATGTTCAGCGAGAATTTACATCGAGCGTACAGTTAGGGCAGCCTATATATGTGCAATTTGATTCTTTCGAACAACGATTGGCCACTTTTGATCAATGGTTACGCGACGCATTGCCGTCGCGACGGTATCATCGAGATTTAGCGTGGGTCGGTTTCTTTTACACAGGTATCTCCGATTTGATGATGTGCTACATGTGCGGGCTCGTATTGAAAAATTGGCGTAGTAGTGACGATGTGACCATAACGAATGACACATTTGATCCGTGGAGGGAACATTTGTACTGGAGTCGAGAATGTTCCTGGGCCAAAGTTGTATCCCGCGTTCATTTTCTCAACGAAGGTACTACTGAGCCCGAATCAGAGAAAGCTGCTTCTCCGATCCCGGCACCGAGAAGGCCGAACAGATTCGATCATGGTGATGATGGTGGTGATGATGGTGGTGATGATAGTGGTGATGATATCAATGACATTCTTGGCACGGAGAAGAACGAGTGTACCAGCGTAGGCGAGAGCGTTCAATAGCGTTCCAACGTAGACGAGGACGAATGCCTCAATATGCGGCGATCTGTTGCATATGATCATCGGCGACGACAACGCGACTTCGATGAGCGTGTAGTTGATCGAATATTAATGGATTACATACCGGCAGCTACTCGTTCGATTGGCACAAATGACACTCTTGGCGTTACAGCTCTTTCGCATCGTTTGAACGATCTGCTTCTAGCCACGCAGCGCGACGTAAAAGAGTATGCGAAATTGATCGAAAGCTTTGAACGTATGTCTTGCAACACTTCAAATTCTGTCGTGCAAATAGAAAATCTCCGTAACCGAGCTAATCTATTGTTGAATGTGCTACGTCACACGGACCATGCCGCGATTCGTGAAAACTTATTTTTAGTAATCGAACAAACAGAGTCAGTCAGGCAGTCGTATAAATGCGAACGAATCTTTGACGGCGATGCGCTGACGCCGTCGACACCGACATTTCGATCTCAGCAGAAATTCAAAGAGTGTAAACACGAGTGTATCATATGTTACGAATATGAACGAAACGTTCTATTTTTACCTTGCCGACATACATTATCGTGTACGTACTGTAGCGAAAATCTAACGGAATGTCCTGTTTGTAGAGCGATTATACTCTTTGCAATTCAAAATCGATATTAAAACATATTATCGAACATATGAAATGAATACGTCGCAATATTAGCGAACGTAATGCCACGTAGTGGGGAGAGGGGAGGGATGTAGGTGAAGAGGGGGGGCGGGAGGTGGCTCAATAAAAACGCCAAGATCGCTGAACGAAGAATCTATTCGTACAGCAATGAATTCGTCGAAGAGTTCGAGCAGTGACAGCGACGATTGGGACGAGTTGTTCGTGTTTGACGCAACGGGATCTAATTTCGTGATTACACGGCGCGCAATGCCACGCAGTGAGGAGGTGTTCGATAGAAATACCAAGACCTCTGGAAGTTCGTCAGATAGTTCGAGCAGCGACACCGAAGAAGACGATTTGTTCGAATATGAGATAGACTTTGTCCTCTCTATACCTCGTGTCCCATGTTTTGAATAGTGTGCCTTGGATGGATCGTCGAGTATCCATCGTTCGCTATATTATGATCGAGCGATCTCATGCAGTCGAGCGCGCGTGCTGCGTCGAAACTACTTCAACCGTAGACATCGATGTCGTACTAAATCGTCAACGGAATCGTTCGAGTTGGAACGACCGGTGATTTCGCACACCGAACCATTGTTGCAAGACACGTTGATAGCCGAAGCAATATCGCACGCGCTTGACATCGCTCGCACGTTTTATAAAATTCAACTATAACATCAACAATACGAGGCTACCTAAACTCTCATTGGTTGCAATTGCTCGAACGATTCGACCGCAAAAAGTTATACGCGAATCTTCAGCTGCTATGTGGACTTTGCTGGCTAATAGTCAATTAAACGATCGAAAACTGCTGGTTCATTGCCTGATCCTGATATTACATGCATATACGAAAGAAATGGACGATGCGCTATATCATTACAAAGAGGATGAATTATTGATGACGCTAAATGCTATCGAAGAAAGTATTTCGGAAACGATTCGACCTGATTCCCAGCACAAGCAGCAACAGAACATCGACAAACGACGGGAAACGGCGTACCGTGGTTTACTCTTTGTGAGCGACGAGAGAAGTATGACTGTTTGGCGAACTGTCAGCGATTGTGACTTTATACGACTAATATTGCCCGAATTGCTAAAATTACCGCAACTCAACGTAAATTCATTCGAGAATGCATATGAATACAACTGTAGCGCACTGTTTGTGCGATTATTGTACGATCGTTTTTGTCATAGATTTGACAATAATAGTGATATTTCGAGGAAAGAAATTCATTCCGCTTTGATCAATGCGTTCGAATACTGTTTGTTAATCGGAAATTTGGTTGTGGCTGCTCCATTGAGTCTTATTGCTCCATACGCTACGGTGCAACGTGCGGCTGACACGATACTACGATTAGTTAGTACAACAACCGATACTAGACTTTATACGCGAAGACAATGGTCGTACAAGAGGCTTGGTGTCTTTTTAGATATGATGCGTTGCGTACATGGGATTCCGATACATCGATGCGAGCCGTTGTGCAGTTTGTACGATACGATATTTCGATCTGCGTTGCGAAACACTTTACGCATAATGATGTCGAATGTTTTCGGGTTCAATGTATGGGAGGAAGCGTTCGATTTCTATGAGCATTGTGAACGTATATATGAACGAGACAGGCACAATGAATTTGAGAATTGTTGTGACGACGACCGCGCTCCCGAGAATCACGATACGGATAGTGACATGGACAGCGATACCCTTGTAGGTACAAAGTTCTTTCGAAGGAAGCAATCGCGCGCAGTGCGAAATCCATTGAATTTGTCGAGTTTAGCGCTAGCGAAATCAGTTATGGTTCATGGTTTTCTCGCACCTATACAATTTGCCGTGCCATGCAGACAACGGGACTTGGTACGTCGCGCTCTCACAGATGTTATGTATGCGATGCTACCGATGTTATCCAAACAGTGCCACTTGTGGAAGTCTCGACTGTTATAATTTGTAATAAACGTATATATATATATATATATATATATATATATATATATATATAAACGTATACATGTAAAAATATTTATTTTTTACCTTTCCCCAGCGCAAACAACTTTATCGCGTTCGTGAATGTCGTTAGTTCATCACATAGCAACGTCAATAGCGCGTATACCTAATGCGCCATACGCGTCCTATTTTTTTCATAATCGAAGGTGTGCAGACCTTGAGCACCGAGTTCGATGATCGTCCTGTAATATATGTGTAGGACGCTCACAGTTTCGAAATAAGAATCGATCGTGATTCGTTTTATGGATCTTATTTTTCGTACACGTTGACGTATCTTGGTGAACGTATACGAAAAATAGGATCCATGGAACGCCGAAATCAGACGCCGAATTCGGACACTTATCCGGTGAATGCTTAGTCGCGCGTTCGGTTCTCTGGTTCAACATAAGATCCACCATCTTACGTCTCGTGCAGTAATCGACAAAAAAAAAATGAATCAACCGAGACGAGTCAGCGTCACGCGCGCGCAATTTGAACAACGATCGGTATAAGTACTAAAATGGCGACGGCGATACGGTCAACGACGAATATGCAACGCGATCGAGAGTACACGCGCGACTTGCAGCGTTTCGTTCGCGAGTACAACGACGAAGCTGTAAAGATCGAGCATCTCGAGAGCAGCAACAACGGAGCGGCAGCGGACGGCCACGTTCGCTTTGGTGCCAAAGTAGCACGATTTTTGGATCTGTACGAGGACCGTTTGCAGGCGAGCGACCGTATGTTTCTGAGGCGCGAAACGGTAGCGCGAACTATGCAGGCGCTCTTGTTGCGTTCGATGCAATTGAGCGGATTTGGTGAGCTCGCCATATCTGTGAGCGGCGCGCGAAATCTGGAACGCGACTTGGCCACCGCGCGACGCCGGTTGGAAAATGCTCGCAACAACGTCGACGTAGGTGACAGCGGCGGCGATGACGTGGATCCGCGTACGGATACACGTGGACTGTATGAATACATTCCGTATGAAAGTCTTTCAGTTTCTCTCGACGACTTGCCGGGATACGAGGAACAACATCGTCTCATCGTGAATACGTACTTTGATTTTGACAGTAGCACATCCAATGCGAAACACAACGCTCGCGTCACCAACAATTCAATGGACGGGCGCAAACCTCGTACGAAGGCCGGCGCCAACGTGATTTTGTACGGTCCTCCGGGTACGGGCAAGACCGCGGCTGCATGCGCGGTCGCACAAACATTGCGACTCAACTTGGCGTTCGTGAACGCTGAGAATCTTCTCTCCTCATATCGCTCCGAAACGGAAAAGAACTTGCGCATCCTGTACGAACGTATGCGCGCTTTGGTTCACGTAACCGGCCGCAATGTTGTTTGCTCATGGACGAAGTGGATGGCTTGGTGAAGAATCGCAGCGGTAGCAGCGGCGCACCGCCTATCAGCAGCGGCGATTACAGCTTGCTCACGCGGTTTCTCACGATACTAGAGCCCAACGACGGTACGGATAACTACGGCGTGTTCAGCGTGTTTACAACGAATCGATTGGACAATTTGGACGACGCATTTCGACGGCGATGCACCGCCGTCTTTTTCGGATATGTCACGAGTCGTACGTCTTTGGCCACTTTGGCCGGTCGTTTTCTAGCGGATTCGATGGACAACGTCGATGACATTTCGCATAGCACCGCGGCTATGGACACGTTCAAATACTGGGTTCCTGGCGACTTCGCTCGCTTCAAACGTGAATTTGTAAAACCCGAGCGCATGAGAATTTACTTGCAACGCATCGGTGTATCAGAGCGCGAATTTTATCTCCGAATTTCTAGCAACGACGGTGAACAGGATGGTGGTGGTGGCGGCGGCGGTATCGATCAAACGCGTAGTGGAACGAACAGAGAAATTGTTCTAGACATGCCAATTCTCAATGTTGCGGATATCGTTAATTTAGCTTCACGGTACAAACCGATCACGCCGCCACACAAATACAACGAATATTTGGGCGACGACGACAGTACGCGGCGTTAGGACGAGACATATGGGATATATTGTACGCAGAAAGTAAACTCAACTAATTTGGACTGCTGTATTTATTTTTAATCATTTATTTTCAATGTATATGTAAAGTCGTGTAACAAGTAACGAGCTCTGCAATGTCGCACACTTCCAGGTCAAAAAAGTTATTCCGACGAATAACTTCGAGATACTCAAAATGTGGCCGTTATTGCAATCATAATATCGAGAGCAGGTATTCGACTGGTGTCATGACCGACCGTGTCCTGGCGACAGTGGAGGTCTCGTTATCGTAGTCGTAAAAGTTATCGGTTCGATAGGTCGCTCCGTCGTCACAGGGCACTTTGCCGACCGAGTGGGGAAATCTACCCACTTCGAAGTAAGTCGCTCCATGACCAACTGGGG